AGTGTCTTGGATTCTTCCTTGTGCTTTGGCTTCTCTACGTTCCAGTGCAATCTTCAGAGTTTCTTCTGACATCCATTTTTGTCTTTTCTTCCTCTTCTGTCTTTGTAATGACCGCCTGCACTCTTCCTGGATGATATATTTAACATCCTCCCACAACTCATCTGGTCTTCGCTCATTAGTGTTCAAGGCCTCAAACCTGTTCCTGAGATGATTCTGAAATTCAGGTGGTATGAAATTAAGTCGTATTTTGGCTCCTGTAGATTCGGTTTAATTTTCCTCAGCTTCAGCTTGAACTTGCATATGAGTAGTTGGTGGTCTGTTTCACAATCAGCTCCTGGCCTAGTTCTCACAGCTGATATTGAGCTCCAGCAGAGCATCTGGTGGATTTGAACCGTGTACCTCTGAGATTGCAGTGCAGCTTCTTGCCACTAGGCCACCAGAGCTTGCCAGAAAAGGAACAGAAGAATTGATAAATTGATGCTTTTAAAGTAGGGGTGTTGGGGAAGAGTGCTGAGTATCCCTTGCACTGTCAAAGGAACAAACAGCTGTATCTTGGGAAAAGTATAGCTAGGGTGTTCCTTGGAGGCAAGGATGATGAAGTTTTGTTTCTCATACATTGGATAATTTGCTAGGAGAAACCACTTTTTTTCAGGCTTTTTTTTTAAAAATATAAATTTATTTTTGTGTGTGTGTGTACTGCCAAATCGGATCTGACGGGTACAGTAGGAGATTGCCCCTCCTTCTTTAGCAGAGGAGAAGCCATTTTTAAAAAGGGATATGCTTGAAAAGATGGAGGGTCAGTGAAAGAGAGGAATATCCCCAAGGAGATGGATTGAGATAGTGTCTGCAGCAGTGAGTTCAAGTATATTAGAGTTGATGAGGGTGGCATAGTATTTAGATCTGTTGTTTGTTGGGTCCTTATGTGTCATACTTGACTTAGTGGCACCTAAGAACAACAACATCATGATGTTGCCTGTTGGTCAGTTGGTGAAGATATTTATTTTGTTGTTGATCTGTAATCCATACTGAAGACTGTAGAATTTGATCTTCTACAGCAAGTACTTCAAGAGGTGTATGTATCTTTTGGTATATGTTTGTGTACTTTGTAGGCCCCATAGGGTTTAATTATGAGTGCTACCTGCGATCAGAGTTCCGGTGGCCTAGTGGTAAAAAGGTTCGCTGCAATCTCAAAGGTACATGGTTCAAGTCCACCAGCTGTTCCTTGGAAGAAGGCTGGGTAGTCTCTTCCTGTGTGATTTACTGCCTCTAAAAACCTGCTGGAGGGTCAGCTGTGGATCTGGTGCACAAAAAGAACAAACATTTATAATACATAGTAATAACCCGAAAGTGGACAGTTGAACTCACTGCTCTGCAGAAGATAGCAGTCTGCTTCTATAAAGGTTACAAACTTGAGATGATTCTGATCTGTTTTATATGGTCACTATGTGGTAGAATTTGTTTAATAACAATTGGAGTGTGCGTGTGTCTGTGTGTAATAGGCGTAACTTGATGGTGCAGTGGTAACTTGGTGAATTTGACTTCTAACTGGTAGTTTAATGTTATGGGAGAAAAACTTTACAGTATTTTTCTCTGAAGATCACTGCCTATAAACTATGGAGTGGTTTTGCCTTGTCACAAGGATGACTATGAATTGAAATTGACTCAGTGAGGAATAAATAACCACATAACATATATCTTAGAAATATTATTATTTAAATAATTCCTAAATTTGTTAGCAAAGGTTTTTAAAACCATTAATGTTTAAGTGTTCTAAGTAAAAACTCTTTTTGTGCTTTCAGTTGCATGCTGCCATTAGTCACCAGGTTGACCCAGAATTCCTTGGCTTGGGCCTCGGTAGTGTGCTTCTGAACAGCTTGAAGCAAACTGTAGTAACCTTGGCCAGCAGTGCGGGTGTCCTTAGCACTGTGCAACTAGCTGCACAAGCAGTGCTGCAGAGTGGATGGTCGCTGTTGCTGCCGACTGCTGAGGAACGAGCACGGGCACTTTCAGCACTTTTACCCTGTGCAGGTAAGTCTAGACATGTTTAGATGAACATTGCTGGTGCTGAGGAAGAGGATGATACTTAAACAAAATTGTTAGAACGCTTTTTCTTTGACAGTTTCAGGTAATGAAGTGAACGTAAGTCCTGGCCGTCGATTCATGATTGATCTTCTGGTCGGTAGCCTAATGGCTGATGGTGGGTTAGAATCTGCCTTAAATGCAGCTATTACTGCTGAAATCCAGGTAAGGAACTGGGAATTTCTGTTTACTGTCTGGACCTGCTAATCTATTAGTGAGATGAGATTTGAAATACCATATACATACATGTAAGCAATAAGCTTTATTGCCGGAATTATGGAAAGAACAACCAACAACAACACGAAAACAAAGTAATAGTAAAGAGATTTTAATGAAAGTATTCATAAACTTGACCCACTTAAAGAGTCTGAAAAGTACTCTATTTGAAGCTAATACTTAGGAATTTCTCAGTGCCATGTCCTTTTCCTGTTAGGTGCTCCCATGTCTTCCTTGCCTGTATTTTCCCTGTTCTTGAATTTAATATAAACAGAATAATAAATATCTTTTGGTTTTAAACTAAACAGTGTTCCTTTGTTGGGACAACCATTTCTTGATCTAGTTAGCGATTTCTTAGGAGCATATTTGAGTGTTTTGTTGTTCCCATTCTTCTTAGTACTAGCCATAATTTGTTATGATAGACATAGTCAAATGCCTTTGCATAACTAATAAAGTACTCACAGATATTTTTCTGATATTCTTTGCTTTCAGCCAGGATCCTTCTGTCATCAGCAGTAATATCCCTGGTGTCATGGCCTCTTCTAAACTCTCCTTGAATTTTCTGTATACTGTTCTAGTAATGTTCTAGCAGTTTTGTAATGATCTTCAATATTTTGCTTGCATGTGATATTAATGATATTGTTTGATAATTTCTACATCTGTTAGATTGTGGCTTTAACACATTCCATTTGTTGCCTATAAGGAGCTCTGGTAGCCTAGTGGCAAGAAGCTGCATTGCGATCCTGAAGGCACATAGTTTGACGCTACCAGCTGCTCCCTGGGAGAAGGACTGGCAGTCTTCTCTCGTGCAATTAACTGCCTCTGAAGACCTATTGGGGGGTCAGCTCTGAGTCGATTATGACTCTTTGATACATGATAACATATTTTGTCCAGAGCCAACTAAAATAGCCATTGTAAAAATCAATACTCAATGTGGTCAGATAGCAAATGCAAAAAACACTGCTCAATGTGGTAAAAGCCTAGCAGTGTGGAGTAGGTTCAGAAATTTGGGGTCATTGAATTTATGGAGGTTGGTGGAAGTTGCTGTGACAGAGGAAAGGAATCACATTTACCAGGCAGGTAAATTTTGCATATGCATGAAATCCCATTCGGTGTTTGGGAACCAGTAAGGATTTTAGTAACTTACAGAAGGAGGCTGGAGAACACATTAGCATTGATAGCCTGAACATCAGATCATAAGCTAGTATATTCGGCTTAAAAACTGAGCATATATATGCAGTAGGGTTTCTAACAGATGAAAGTATGGGGAAATGTCATTAAGTGTTTGTGTTGGGACAGGTATAGAGATACTGAGTTAGTGAGCCTGCTAGTGAGATAACTGCTAACCAATTTCTGTTTAATATTTCACAGGATATTGAAGCAAAAAAAGAAGCTCAGAAGGAAAAGGAAATTGATGAACAGGAAGCAAATGCCTCATCATTTCATAGGAATAGAACTCCATTGGATAAAGACCTTATTAATACAGGCATCTATGAATCTTCTGGAAAACAATGCTTGCCTCTGGTTCAGCTCATACAACAGCTTCTTAGGTAAGTAATATTATCTTTAACCTATTTTAATTGAAACTAAGATGTAAAAACTAATAACCAATTCAGCACTTGGAAAACTTAAATATACTTGGGATACTTTGGACTTAAAAATCTTTTATGAAACTGTACATTTTTAGTACTTTTGATGAAAATTTAGTGTTCAGTTAATGTACTATATGGAATGCACATGGAGTATGAAGATTTTACATTTGAAAATTAATGTGCTTTACTTTTTTAGTTTAGTTTTTTTTCACTTTTAACAGTTTATTAGAATTTGTTTAACAATCTAAGAAGTGCAGTCATCAGCAATTCCAGTGCAATTTCAGGTGCATTTGGGAATTGAGGAGTCTCTGTGGAGCAGTTAATGTAGTAAACCTTGTACATAAAATATCCGTTTACATTTCATGGCAGCAAACTGACATGGGATACTCAACATGGCTTTTATTGTTTCTCATGTCAGTGTATATTCTCTTTTTACAGTTAGTTCATAGCCATCAGAAGATACCAATTTGATATATGTGGCATCTGGGCCTTCATAGCCAGCCTAAATTTTTTTCCTTTCTATCCATTATATTCTTTGAAATTCTACTTTGTTTCCACAGGAACTTTCCTAGCTCTTTGTCAGTCATAGCCATCAAAATGGGCCCCTGTGTGCCACCACAGCCCTACTCGAGGGCTGGACCCCTTCTCCTTTTTAGTATTACTTAAAAAGTACTCATATGAGCAAAATACAGCATTACAATTAAATTTTATGAGTTTTAAAAAATATTTTAAAATGTGTGTAATAGAAAATATTTAAATTTATCCACCTTATAACATGTTTGCCAGATAGAAAAAGAAAATGCATCACGTTCAGAATGTTTATGATGCAGGCTTGTGCTCTTTTTGGGGAGATAGATGTAAGTATTTTATTTTCACACTTCATATTTTTGTAATCAAAGAGTACTTGATGTATTTACTTAGCGGATTCATATTAAGAAATATTCTAAAGATATAAATGAGTTTGGAGACACTTGAGAGAATGAATTAAAGACATTTCTGTTGCCTAAAAATATGTGTAACAGATTTGAGAGAAAATCTTGGAAATACCACATTTGTCAAAAATAAAGATTTATGAATTGTTTATAAACAATGTATGCTATCAGTATTTTTGTTAATATTTGAATTTTATATTAAAGAAATAAATTAACATTATTAATATATTTTATTACTTTTTTATTGCTATATTTTGCTTTTCTAAGCATGGCATAAAATGTTGACTCACATAGTTTCTTTTGTTGCTATGAGCCTGGGTATTTATGTTATTAGTGTAACAGCTCTTATTTATTTAGTATATGTACTTTGTAGTGAGATTACTGAATCAAATAATAATTGTATTTCAAACTCTCCAATAAAAGAAATATGGAGCACTTAGTAAATTTGCATTTCATCCTTATGCTAATCTCTTTTTCATTCTACTTTTAGTGTACATACTGCCAGAACCAGTGTTTCTTACAAAGGTTTTTGCAAGATTACTTCTATAACAAGATTGTCTATTATTTTGAAACATTTTAGGTTGTTTTAGAATATGATTCTGAACCCTACCCTGTCATATCTCATACATTTGAGCCCATTGTGACCACATGTCAGTTCATCTTGTTGAAAGTCATCGTCTCTTTCACTGACCCTCTGCCTTTCCCAGAATGATGTCTTTTTTAATCTTTCAGGTTTTCTGCTTAGTGTTGATAGTAGCACTGCTGCTGACGTACATCTAGGCAGAGATGTAGTCACAGCCTCTTTGTGTGTGGGAAGTGGTCTGACTTTAATGATTTGAGTTTTTAATTCTCTGTCACTTTGCTCTTTCTCTCTGCATAGAGATGACTTTCTTATTTTGCCACCTTTTCTCCCCTGTACAGAAACATTGCTGCACAGACTGTGGCCAGATTGAAAGATGCTGCTCGTAGAATTTCATCATATCTCGATTTTGAGCAACACACTCGTGAAAGATCTGCTTCCCTGGACTTATTACTCCGCTTTCAGCGTTTACTTATCAGTAAACTTTACCCAGGAGATAGTGTTGGTCAAATCTCTGATATTTCTAGTAAGTTGTTCACACTGTGGCAATATCTTCTGTTTTAGTGCCTTGTTATATATGTGCTTTTGGATGTCCATTCTGTATACCCAGCTGTATCCTTGATGCCTTAGTAAATGTAACTCTTTTGAGAAATTTATAAGGATTATATTTTTAGCCGTTTTTTTCATTGATTACTTGTATTTTAGGCCTAGTTTTTAGGTGCCATCTAGTTGGCTCTGACTCACGTGATCATCAGAATGAAACTGTGCCCGATCTGGCTCCATCCTCCAGTCTTTGCTGTTCAGTCACTGTGTCAGTCCAGGAGGCTTTTCTTATCCTTTAATGACTCTCTACTTGTTTAAGCATGTTCTTTTACAAGAACTTACCCTTCCTGATACATGCCCAAAATTTGTGAGACAAAGTCCCACCATGTTACCTCTAAGGAGCACATGTGTGTGTAAATTTTATGTATGTATGTATAATTTAATTTTTTTAATTTTAGGGTTCACAAAGACACTGGTTTTCATTCATTCATGCACATTTTCCTCCCCCCTAATTCCCTTTGTAATGCTCTTTAGGGTTCACAAAGACACTGGTTTTCATTCATTCATGCACATTTTCCTCCCCCCTAATTCCCTTTGTAATGCTCATCCTATTTTAGGCTTTAGCTGTCATACATGTAATTCCTAATTGCCCATTCCTTTCAGATTATCCTTCCTTTCACCCATTCTAGTGCATATTCATTTTCTATCCATTCTTTTACTATTCTTCTTCTTCCATCCCATGTATCAACCCTGTTATTATAATAGGATTATGTAATAGTGGACTTATGCAGTGTTTGTCCCTTTATGACTGAGATGTTTCACTCAGAATAATGCCTCCCATGTGCATTCACATTGTTTGTTTTACAAGGTCTTTATTTTTCAGTGCTGCTATAGCTCTATCCACTCAGTTATTGATGTGCTCCTGGGCTACTTTCATCGCTTTGCTATTGTGAATAATACTGCGATAAACATGGATGTGCATATATCTATTTGGTTCACAGCTCTGACTTCTTCAGGGTGTATTACCAGTAATAGGATATTGTTGTTAGGTGCCATTGAGTCATGTACCCTTTGAACAACTGATCTGAATGCTGTTTTATCCCGTGCCATCCTTACAATCTCTTATACACTTGAGCCTGTTGCCGTTGTCACTGTGTCAATACACTTGGTTGAGGGTCTTCTAATCTTTCCCTGTCCCCTCACCTTCTCAAGCATGATGTTCCTCTACAAGGAATAGCCTCTCCTAGCAACATGCCCAAAGTATGAGAGATAAAGCTTCATCTTTACCTCCAAGCAGCACCTGGGCTGCACCTTCTCCAGGACATACCTGTTTTTTCTTTTGGCAATGTATGGCATCTTCAGCACTCTTTTTCTGATACCACAGCTCAAAGTTAGTGGGATAGCTAGGTCATATGGGATTTCTGATTTTATTTGAGAGATCACTAAGAAGCACTCTTACTGCATTTCTTTCAAGACAAAATTATTTGTTCTTTTGTCAGTCCATGGTATACTCAGTATTCTTCTCTAACACCATGATTCAAAGTCACTGTTCTTTAGTATTTGTTATTGTTTGTTCAACTCCAACATGCATTTGATGAAATAAAAAGAAAACCACAATGGCTTGTGCACTTTAGTCTTTAAAGTGACCTCTTTGCTTTTTAGCACTATAAAGAGCTCCTTAACAGCAGTCTTGCCTGTACAATCTGATGTTTAATTCATTGACTAGGGATCAATGGATGTTGATTGGGGATCTAAGTAAAATGGAATCTGTGATCGCTGCAATCTTTTCTCCATTTATTATGATGTTAACCTTTTGGTTGCATTATGAGAATTTTTGTTTTCTTGATATTGATTCGTATTGTGTACCTAATTCTTAAGATCTAAATTATTTGATCTCAGGTGAGTGCTTCAAGATTTCTTCATTTTCAGCAAGCAATATTGTGTCATCTGTGTATCGCTAATTATTGATGCATCTATCCTTTAATCCTGGTACCACATTCTTTTTCATATAATTTCAACTTCTCAGATTATTTGCTTTACATACATATTGAAAGGATACATCTCTGATGTGCACTTTTCCTTATTTCAAACCATATAATAGAACCCTGTTCTGTTCAAATGACTACTACTTGCTGCATGTATTGTCTCAGGATTTACATTCTTTAGGCATTAGGAATGGCATCTTTTATGTTCAGTGTAGTCTTAGAGAAAATTGATCACATTTATACTACAAATTGGGTAAGGAATTTTAGAGAGCTGATATAATGTAGGAACTAAACAGTGATGTTCTATATTTAATATGTCACATTGGGAGTTTATTTGTGTATAGCGGGAGAAATTATTGTTGGAGGAACACTGGGTGTTTTTGTTGCTCTGGTTTGTTAGAGAGCCACAGAATTTTCATTTTTAAACTGGCAACATCTTTTGTCTGCCTGTGAGGATTGAAATCACTTAATGTATATTGACCCAGAGCTGTGCATGACTCAAGGTCACCACTGCCTCCCAGACGTCTTTGAGGTTATTGCTGTGCTCCATACATACAGAAATACAACAACAGAAATACTTGCTTGTTATGTTAGTATTTTTATAGTCAATTTATTCTCATAAAATAATTTGATTGCTTCCTGAAAAAAGTTAAGCGCTTGTAAATGATGAAAATACTCAGGTTTAAATAGGTGAATTAATAATCTGAAAGAGATAGAAAGTTAAAAAAGAAAAAGATTTGAAAAATTATTAAGAACCATGTGTGAAGGTTTGAAGATCTGATAAGATTGAGCAATGCTGGACTTTGTTCCTTTAAGACCTGAACTTGGAAAGCAAATGTTTGCATAATTGTAAAATTTCAAGTCTATTAAATTAAAACTTTACTGTTTATATCCCTAGAGTTTTTCTGTGGTATGTAGTATATAAAATTTAATGTCTGTCTCTTAAATTATGTACTATCAAGGAGCAAGAATGGCCATGCATCTGTTGAAAAGATATGGCAGGTAAACGGATATATAAATCAGATAATAATAGTGGAGATGCTTAGTTTGTTTATAAAAGAAGATGAAAATAAAATTTCCTTAATTTTCCTTCAAGGTCCTGAACTAATGGGTGTTGGTTCCTTGCTGAAAAAGTACACAGCTCTTTTGTGCACACACATCCGTGATATACTCCCTGTGGCAACTAGTATTGCTGCTTCTAGCTGGCGGCACTTTGCAGAAGTGGCTTACATCATGGAAGGAGATTTCACTGGTACTGTTCCTGTTCCCATGCCGTTTATAAGTATTTCTTTTAGAAAATTAATGGAGGCTAAGGGTTGCTATGAGTCTCAAGTAACTTGACGGCACATAACACCAACAAACAACAAAACGGACTGTGTAGTTTTGTTAAGCTCCTCATGTAGAATTTTTTTTTTAGAAAAATGAAATTGTACATATTTGCTATCTAAATTTTAGTTCCTGTTCCTTTTCCTCTCTTTTCTTTTTTGAAAGTTGGTTAACAATTTTGTTATGAAGACATCTTTTTTCAGCATTTATTTCACTGCATATCACTAGTTATTTTGGGTTTATATTACTATTACTAGTATTTTATTAATGAGCTTAGTAGTAGTTAGGGAGCTGTAGTAGCCTCGTGGCAAGAAGTTTCACTGCAATCCCAAAGACACATGGTTCGAGGCCACCAGCTCCTTTGCTAGAAGGATGAGCAGTCTCCTCCTGTGCAATTAACTGCCTCTGAAAACCTGCTGGAGGGAGTGTCAGCTATGGGTTGGTTTTGACTCGACATTATACAAGAACAAGCAGTAGTTATGTTTATTCCATTGTAAGGACAAAAATTAGTTGCTTTTTTCAGAAATTTAATAAATTCTACTATTAGTGGTCAATTTTTTTTCTTTTTGACAGTTTCAAGTTTTAGTATTCAATTTTTTGACAGTAGGCAATATGATTGCCTTTTCTTGATGGTCTATGTATTGATGAATACTTTTTTTTTGCATTGGGATTGTTAATTTATTTTTTTTTAATTCATTATTAATTTCAATGAAAATTTACAGACTTTAGATTACCATTCATTCATTTTTGCACTTTTCTCCCCTCCTAACCCTCCCCCCTAGTACACTACCCTCTTGGAAAAGTAAAAGAAAATTTCTTGCATTGTTTTACAAACACTTGCCCTAGGTCCACTCCACCATGCAGCCTCCGCTCTGGACTCCTGTCATGACAAAAATATCTAATCACATATCCCTTTAAACAATTTTCTCCTTTATCTGTTTCAATGCAGTATACATTATTGAAATAATCTTTTTCAGTCTACCGCCAACCCCGAGGTCAGTCCTGTTTTACAACAGTGGTATCATGCGGTATTTGTCCTTTTGTGACTGAGATACTTCACTTAGCATAATGTTCTCCAGGGTCACCCATTTTACATGAGTTCCTTGTTTTTCAATGCAGCGTAGTATTCCACTGTAGTATTCCATTGTGTGAATATATCGCAGCTTCTCTATCCATTCGTTTGTTGATGGGCACTTGGGTTGTTTCCAACTCCTTGCTTTTGTGAACAAAGCTGCGATAAACATGGGTGTGCATTGAATACTTATTTTTTTGAATGAAAGACGTTTTAGATAATAGTTCCTTGTAGAAAAATATTTTTTAAAAGTCTTCTGTTTCAAATTGGAAATTGAAATCCCCAAACTTTAAAACTGTGGACAAAGCTTTATTTAATTGTCACTATATTTTAATTTAAAAAGTGTATATATAAGTGATTTTGTAATTTAAATTTCAGAACTTTCTTTTTTTTTTTTTTTTTTAATTTAGGTGTTCTACTTCCAGAACTAGTGGTATCTGTAATGCTTTTGCTCAGTAAAAATGCTGGTCTCATGCAAGAGGCTGGAGCTGTTCCCCTTTTGGGTGGCCTTTTAGAAGATCTGGACCGGTTCAACCGCCTGGCACCAGGAGAAGAAAGGGATGACCATGAAGATTTAGCTTGGCCTGGCATTATGGGTACAGCATTTTAATTTCAAGTCTTTTATCAAGAAAAGTTTATCCTAGTTTAGTATATTCTTCCTTTTCCATTTAAAAGAATACAAAGGAAGACCAATTATTGGTAATTACCCTTGTTGTTAATATAAGGAAAATAATGTTAAAAAAATCTAAAAAAATGAGGGTTATATTTAAGGGGAGATTTTTATATAAATAATGATTGCTAAATCTAAAACAGTTATTCTAGAAAGTTCTGGGAAATCTTTTCTTGGAAGGTACTCATTAGGTAACTAGATGTGATACCACCTAGAAGGTAGGGATAATAAGGAATAATGTCATAAAGGCATTGATAATATTTGAAGAGCATATGTTAGGAATTCCTGAACACTTCCCTACAGGTACTGTCTGCATGTACATCTAATGAACTGATACCCATCTTCTCGAGGTTTTGACCTTTGGTTGTTTTAAATCTCTAAGTCTAAGTAGCTGTAATCAGTGTGATTCTGATTTCATGGACTCTGAGAATTAATAGAGGTTGTAAAATAATTTTATGATACACTTTTTATTTTGTGTGAGATTTATTTTCTCCCATTTTCATAACTCAGAAATTTGAAACAGGAAGTAGCAATTAGAGGAGGCAGTTTTTGAGAAGATTATCTGTTTCTGCCCTCTGCCATTAAGTGCTTTAGATATTGGGGTGTGGGGAGACGGTGAAGCTTAGGAAGTATGACAGTTGATCTAGTTACTAAGTATTCTGACCTAAACACTTACTAGTTGTTTTTTAACAGTATTTTCAGTACCATTCATCTAGATTTATTTAAGAATTAATTTAAATTGGTGTTTGTTGCTTTTGTATACATTCTGAATAAATTTAAGGGTATTGCTTTTGCTCAGCAGTTGAAATATATTAATTATAAAGCCTTTTAAAAATGATAAAATATGACACATTGAAAGTGCACAAGGCAGCTCTACGATTTATCTCATTCTGTCATGTAACATTGGCTGATTAATGAAGAGGATTCATGCAGTGTTTTACTTTCCTACTAAGCATTATAAGCATTGCACTTTTTTTATGAGCTTGTTTTAATTTTAATTTTAATTTGTTGTTGTTGTTATGTGCTGTCAAGTTGCTTGTGACATAGCGACCCTATGTACTACAGCCTAAACCCTGCTCTGTCCTGTGCCAAGCTCACTGTTTTTGACACACTCACCCTGATTACCCCGGTCACTGAATCAATCATAGAGGGCCTTCCCCTCCTGTGCTGTCCCTGCTTCAACCCTCCCAAGAATGATGTTCCTCTCCAAGGACTAGTCGATCCTTGCAACATGTCCAGAGTATGTCAGATGAAGCCTCAGAATCCTTGCTCCCAAGGGGCAGCCCAGTTTAACCCTCTCTAGGATGAACCTGTTTGTTTTCTTAGTAGTCTCTGATACATTCAATACTCTTCTCCAGCACCACGGCTCAAAGGCATCAATTCACCTTCTATTTTCACTAGTCATTGTCCAACTCTCTGACACAAAAAGTGATGGCAAAGATCATGGACGGTATCAGACGCACCTTAGTCTCCAGAGACTCCACTGCTCTTTAGTACTTTGGAGAGGTCCCTAACAGCAGACTTTCCCATTGCAATACGTCTTAATTTCCTGGCTGCTGGTGCCAAGAGTGTTGACTATGGAGCCAAGGAAACCAAAACTATGAACAATCTCAATCTCTTCACCATCCATCCTGATGCTGCCAGTTGGTCCAGTAGTGAGAATCTTTGTCTTCTTGATATTGAACCTCAGTCCATATTGAAGGCTGCATTCCGTGATCCTCTGCAGCAAGCGCTTCAGGTCCTCCTCATTTTCAGCAAGTAGGGTTGTGTCATCTGCATAGCGCAGATTGTTGATGGATCTTCCACCGATCTTGATGCCATACTTCTCATAGAGTCCAGCCTCCTGGATAATCTGTTCTGCATATTTGTTGAAAAGGTATGGAGATAGGACACATTAGTTAAATATATTTTGTTGTTGTTGTTTTTTTAGTTAAAGATTTTTTTAAGTCTCTTGTGACTTTGTTGTATATGTGCTAATGTTTCTTGAGTTTTAGGTTAATTATCATTATGACTTGAGCATATTTCTACTTGCACTTTTGTCAGCTTTTCTCTTAGGTCTTTTTTTGTTAGGCTTAGTGCTCACCGAGTTGTCCCAAGAAATCTGGAGAACAGCCACTTAGCCAACTGACTGGAAGAGATCTGTATTTGTTCCCATTCCAAAGAAAGGTGATCCCACAGAGTGTGGAACTTACTGACAGTATAAGTAATATCACATGCAGACAAGATTTTGTTGAAGATTATCCAAAACGACTGGAACAGCCCACCAGCAGAGAACTGCCGGAAGTGCAGGTTGGAATTAGACGGGGCCGTGGTGCTAGTGATATTGTGGCTGTTGTTAGATAACTCTTGGCTGAAAGCAAGGAGTACCAGAAGAATGTTTTTCTTTGTTTCATTGGTTATGCAAAGGCATTTTACTGTGTGGATCATAACAAACTGTGTCTAACTCTGAGAAGAATGGGAATCCCAGAACACTTGATTATGCTCTTGTAAAACCTATACTTGAACCAGAAGGCAATCGTCAGAACAGAGCAAGGAAACACTGTGTGGTGCAAAATTGGGAACGGTGTATGCCAGGGCTGTAACCTGTCTCCATACCTTTTCAATCTTTATGCAGAATAGATTATCCGGGAGGCAGGGCTCTGTGAGGAGAAATGTAGCCTCAGGATTGGAAGAAGAATCATCAACAGTCTGCCTTATGCAGATGGCACAACCTTGCTTGCTGAAACTGAAGAGGAACTGAAGCACTTGCTGTGGAAGGTCAGGGACTTCAGTCTTCAGTATGAATTGAGACTCAATATCAAGAAAACAAAGATTCTCACCACTGGGCCGATTGGCAGCGTCATAATGGATGGTGAAGAGATTAAGATTGTTCATAGTTTTGGTTTCCTTGGCTCCATAGTCAACATTCTTGGCACCAGAAGCCAGGAAATTAAAAGACATATTGTGATGGGAAAGTCTGCGGTTAGAGACCTCTCCAAAGTACTGAAGAGCAGTGGTATCTCTCTGGAGACAAAGGTGTGTCTGATACAGGCCATGGTATTTGCAATCACTTGTTATGCATCAGAGAGTTGGACAATGACTAGGGAGGATAGAAGGAAAATTGTTGCCTTTGAGCTGTGGTGCTGGAGAAGAGTATTGAGGGTACCATGGACTGCTAAGAAAACAAACAGATTTATCCTGGAGATGGTTAAACCAGATTGCCCCTTGGAGGCAAGGATTTTGAGGCTTTCCCTGACATACTTTGGACATGTTGTAAGGAGCAACCAGTCCTTGGAGAAGGGTCATCATGCTTGGGAGTGTGGAAGGACAGCACAGGAGAGGAAGGCCCTCTATGAGGTGGATTGATTCAGTGACTCGGGTAATCAGGATGGGTGTGTTGGAGATAGTTCAGTTGGCACAGGACAAAGCAGGGTTTAGGGCTGTTGTACATAGGATCACTATGAGTTGTAAGCGACTCAATGGCACATAACAACAACATCATCATCATATAACTTTACTTTGCTAAGTGTTTATGCCATCTCTAAATGCACTCTATTCCTTTACTTTTAATTAGTTTTTTTATTTAACATGCATTTCTTCTTGTAGACAACATCTAGGTGAATCTTTTTCCTTTTTCTTAAATGCACTATGATAGTTTCTCTATTTGAATTGTTACATGTATATTATTTAAGGAAACCTCCTGATGTTGATTATAAGCCTTAGCCGCTAATACAAAATTTGGCATTTTTAAGCAACTGGACGCTTGCTAGGAGTGTACCAACCTTGAAAATCACGTGGTACAGTTCTCTTTTAGCCTGTGTGATTTATAGGAGTTAATTTTTATTTAGATCATTCACATTTAACGTGAATTTTGAAATTGGCTCATAGCTGCTGACCCTCTGTGAATTTTAGAAGGCTGTAAATTCCATTGGAGGAGATTGCCCATTTTTTTTCACCTTTGTATTAGCAGTGCATCTCCTTAAAGACTGTACCACTTGAGGGCTATTATTATTATGATAATTGGTTTACTATCTAACATGATGATCTAGAGGTGTCTTGGAGAAAAATGCATCCTGAGTTTTCCTTGAAGGCAAAGGCTTGTCTTACAGTCTTTGGACATGTTTCTAGGAGAGTTTCTTAGAGAGGGACATCATGCTTGGAAAGGTGGAGGAATCATGACAGAGAGGAAGACCCTCAACCAGATGGATTGACATAGTTACTGCAGCAATGAATAGGCTTGAGTATGTTGGATATTGTGAGGATGACATGGGATAGGACAAGGTTCACATAATGTGATTATAGTGTCGTTATGGGTTGTACCTGACTCGGTGGCAACTAACAGCAGTGGTGACTTAGTGAATAAAGAGTTGTGCTCTTAACTCAAAGGGGGACTGTTCGACTCTACCAGGTACACTTTGGGAAAAACATGAGCATTCTCCTTTCAAGTGTTTACAGCTTCTGAAAACCTCCTAGAGAGTTAGTTATCAGTTTGTTCTTACTTTATGACACATAACAGGAATAACGTTTGTATCTATTTTCTGCTATTGCCTTTGTTCTTTCTCCCCTGCCACTTTCTTTGTTATTGTTTGAATGTTTATGGTTCCAGGTTTGTTTGGTTTTATGTTTTTTTATAAATATGGAATGTGTCACGAATTTGCATGTTATCCTTGTGCAGGTGCCATTCTAATGTTCTCTGTAACATTCAAATTTTAGTAATTAGTGCTGAAGTGAGCACCCAGGTTTTTTTTAATCTGTTAGCTTAGCAGTTTTGTTTAAAAATTTTTTTAGTGGATACTTTCGAGTTTGTAGCCTACATTTATAGTTACTCTAATTCCACTTTCAAGAAACTTCATAATTGAAGTAGTTGCCTTAGAGCGAGTATTCCAATTCAGCCCTTCCTCCTCTCTTTTTATCTCTTTATAACTTTAATCACTGGTTTACACCTTGTCTTTTTATTTGGTATTCTGTGGTAGTTTATGTGATACTGGAATTGATAACTACTAATATTTATGAATAGCAGCAGGTCATTGTAGGAATTGTTACCGGACAATTGTCCTCTCGATTTGGAAGGCACTCAGAGTATGTCTAGAGAAGAGATGCCTCATCAGGTAGATTCTGTCTTTATGTTGAGCATAAGTAAAGCTTTCAGGATCTTCATTTCATTTGTTAATGGGACTTGATTCAAAATGAAAAGAAATATCTGTAAAACATCCATTAATAATTGCAACTTGGATTCTGAAAAATTTACAACCAGGAGAAGATAAAATAGATGAATGGGACCTTCTAAGAATGAAATCCCTATGCGCATCCAGAAACTTCTCTAACAGGGTAAAAAGGGAAG